CCCAATTCATCCCACTCCCCAGCCCTCCACACACACATATCCGTTCTCTATGTCTGCATCTCTAAAATGGTACAGATCCCCATAAGAGTTTGATGGCCACTTTCACCATCACGTGTAAGATTTTCATTGGTTACCTTATCTGGCCCTCACCACAGCCTTTTGAGCAAAACTGAGCAAGCAGAATGACTGCCCCTCCCCCTCCTTGCCATTTCAGACTCATTGAAACTGAGGCTCAAAGAGGGACTGTGTGGAGCATGCAGCTAGCAAGTAGGCAAAGTCAGGACTGTCTTTAAACTGGGTCTTCCAGCTCGAATCCAAGCACATCACCCCTTCTTTCACCTTCCCTATTCAGCTCTTCATGCCACCAGCATTTGCTGTGTTTTGCTGTTTATTGGAGAGTTGTATGGACTTCCAGCCACTGTGGACCCTTCTCAGGGCTCAGCCAGCTGGGGTCTCCTTCCTGCTCTCCTCAAGTGCTGGCCCTCAGTCTGTTTTCCTCTGTTCTTCAGCCGGCACCAGCTTCTTGTGACCTGGGCTCGTGTCCCCAAGCCTAGCAGCTGAGAAGGGCTCTGTTTCACCGCTTAGTTCACAAGCTCACAGGCCCTGCTGGCGATCCAGCTAAGCAACCCCGAGAAATAAATACAGGAAAGAAGGCTACAAAAATAAAAAGCAGCTAAAAGCAACACGTGCCCTAAAAAAATCATAGTTTCCTAGGTCTTCTCAGTCTTAAGTCCCCTGCTTTCTTGTTGGAAAGTGTTCAGAAGCCCTGGGAGCTTCCAGCTTTCGGGACTTTTTTCTGAAGGCAAAGTGTCTTGATGTTGTCCCTTCCCTTATTCTCTTAAGTAGGCCCCTTATCCAGAGCGTAATGGCAGACAGGAAAGAAAGCTGATGTTTGTTGAGGGTCTGCTAGGGGCCAGGCACTGCCCTAGATGCCCGACACCCATCACTTCATCTGACTCATAGTCAGCTTGAGAATGTGGAAACTGAGGCTCGCCAGCGGGACCTATCTGCCTAGATCTGTATAACTGGTACACGTGGGCCGGCTTGGTTTGGCTCAAAACTCGCTTCTCTGTAATCACATGATTATACGGCTAGTGACAAAACGTGTATTCCATCTTCTCTCAGAGCAATTTACCCCCCTGGGGGACTTCCAGTCTCAATGACTCTCATTTCAGGCATCCAGATTTCACACAGGAACTGTTTCCGTGGGCTGATTTTCTCCTGTCTGCTGCGTGGGTGGGAAACACAGAAGGAAAAGGAAACTCAAGTTTTCGCCCCAGAGGAAATAACATTGGGCGATGGACTTGGTGCTCAGATTCGGAGGTCTCCCACCTTGGAGCATACATAGGTGGCTGATTACATGAGGCCGCCTTTGACTGAACACCCAGTCGCTGCCTGGCAGTGAGCATAGCTGTGCACTGATGCTCATGCAATGCTAATGTGAGGCCAAGTATCAACGGGACCAGGCTGCAGACACTCACACACGTGGCATTTCTCATCAGCACTGAAGCCACAACATACTCAATTTTTAGTATAAAATGCTTCGGAGAAGGCAATGGCACCCCACGCCAGTACTCTTGCCTGGAGAATCCCAGGGACGGGGGAGCCTGGTGGACTGCAGTCCATGGGGTCACTAAGAGTCGGACATGACTGAGCGACTTCACTTTCACTTTTCATCTTCATGCACTAGAGAAGGAAATGGCAACCCACTCCAGTGTTCTTGCCTGGAGAATCCCAGGGACAGCGAAGCCTGGTGGGCTGCCGTCTATGGGGTCGCACAGAGTCAGACACGACTGAAGTGACTTAGCAGCAGCAGCAGCTACCTGCTTGCCTCCTGTTTCGCATGTCTCACCTGAGCTGGTGGGAAGGTATAATGAGGGCACAAGCCGAGGTACCAAAGAGAAGAGACGGATGTGAAGTAGGAAGGCAAAGCTGGACTTAGTCACTCCTAAGTTGAGGGGGCACATGAAGGGTGAGAGGCAAAGATGACCCTGAAGTAGGAAGCAGAGACTGTCCCAGAGCCTGGGGATTAGGCTGCTGACTTGGACAAGGGGGACAGGAACACCCTAGAAACTCCATGGGCTCAAGACCCTCAACTGAAATGCGGAGAGGAGACCAGATCACTTCCTGAATTTCCCGCTGCTCTAATGTCTGACAATTCAGGACGAGCGGTTGGGTGTGAACTGCCAAAGTGTTAACAGAATCTGATTCTCTCCGAGAGCGTGCCCTTGACACATTGCAGGGACGGCAGGAGCAGGGACCGAAGGTATTTCGCTAGCCAGGGATAGATCTGTGAAAATGCCTTCCACCCCTTCACCTGCTTCTTGCTCTCTTTGACTATTTCCCCAGGAGTATTAGTTTAGATAAGAAGAGTCAGTGAAGATAAAACAAGAGACAGCTCCAAGAGGGCAGTGAGGATGCAGAGGGAAAATTTGGAATTAGTCATCGGCGGATTTGCCCTGGAAACTCACACATACAAGGGCAGGAACTGTACCCATCTTCTGTCCTGGGATTTTTTACCTAAGCAGAAGGTCTACTTATAATGAAAAAGAGATCAATTGAAAAGCAATATATGTTCAATTCAGAGATGTCAGAATAGCAACAGCCAAGAACAACAGAACAATAGGCATTATCCTACCACTCAGAGACCAACACCCTAGTGAATGTTCTTCCAAAAGATACACAAACAATGCTTTTTAAGAAACAAAAATAGGATTATATTGTTTATTGTAATCTTTTTATCCTCATGTTTAGTTGGTTCATATCATGATTTGTTTAACAGATTTCCTCCTTTCAGATATTTAAATCATCTGCAATTCTGAGTTATAAAAAATTCTACAAGGTATAAATTTTAGCCAAGTCTTGTAAGTCTTTTATTATTTCTTTAAGATAAAATCATTCTTGTGGACTTGCTAGGTCAAAATATGAATATTTTTGATGCTTCTAATTCACACTGAGAAATTGTCTACCAGGAACTCTACATCTGCTTGTGTTTCTACTGTCCATATTCAAGAATGTCTGTTTTTACCATCATCGACATTGTATATTTTCATTTTTAAATAAAAGATGGAAATACACCTTTGTTAAAATTTATATTCCTTTGCTTGTTAATAAGTCGACTCCATTTTCATAGGTTTATTCAATCGTGCTTCTTTTTTGGTGAATTGTCCTTTGATGACCTTGGCCAGTTTAATATCAAGGTGTCTATCTTTTCTTTCTACATTTACATGAAAAATTTGATTTCAAAGATATTAACCTTTGTTACATATCATGCAAATAATTTGCCTCTTTCAATACCTTGTCTTTTAATGTTTCTTAGGGCTTTTCATGTACAAAGGTTTTAAATTTTACATAGATTTATCGATCCTTTTCTTTTTCAGTTTCTGTCCTTGAAGTCGTGCTCCTTCAACATTCAGAATTAAGTGAGATGGCAGTGTTATGTGGCAACCTGGATGAGAGGGGAGTTTGGGGGAGAACGGATACAGGTATATGTATGGCTAAGTCCCTTTGCTATTCACCTGAAACTATGATGACATTGTTGATCAGCTATACCCCAACACAAAATAAAAAATTTAAAGTTTCAAGAAAAAAAAAAGAATTAAATGAGATGTGAGAGGAGCAGGATTGATTAATATTTCAGAGAGAACAGACATCTGCTCTCCGTTTGTCCCATGAGAGCTTAGGAAAATTATCAGAAGGGCCAAGGCAGGGAGCACCATGGCCATCACCATGTCGTCTGGACCAGGACTTGGGAGGCTGTGGTTGGCAGCTGACTAGTGGGTGAGCCGCTTACAGGTAAGGGAGCTAGAGGCAAATTGTTTCTCAGGATCTGCATATGCTTTAGAACAGATGTGTTTTAAGCACCCTTTATTAAAAACACTTTTTATTACAGAAGGAATATGTTCATTATCAAAATTTCTAACTTCACTAAAGTTGATAAAATAGTGAAAGTTTCCTTTTTGCCTCCTCCAAATCCAAGTCCTGAAAGGCAAGTGCTGTGAAAAGTTTGGCATGAGTCTTTACAGATTTCTTCCTATGTCTACACTATTATAGTATAATACAATACAATATAACATAGAATATGCTCTTAGGGCTACTTCTTTCTATTTTAACTCAACCAATATTTCATCATATGAATATACCACAATTCTAGTTGTTTGAAAATTTTTATTACCAAAAAAGCTATAACAAATATCCTTGGACAGAATTTTTTCACATTTATTCAAGTATCTTTGAAAGATAGGTTTCTCAAATTAAAATTAGTAAGTAAAATATATATATATATACATGTGTATATATATATATTTTAAAGTTTAGTGGAAACTGCCAAATCCCACCCATGGGAAGTATACTTTATACTCCCTCAAGTATTATATGAAGGCGCCTGCTTCTCCCAACATTCCCATCAATAATGTAAATCACTATCTTTTCTAACTTTGCCAATTTGAATGTGAAGATGGTGTTTTATGACTTACGTATAATAGCTGTTATATATATATATCTGTAGCATTAGATGTCTTCTCATACATTTATTGACATTTTTTCTGTAATGTATTTCTTCTACAAATTGCTTGTTTGTATTCTTTGTTCATTTTAAAAACCAAATTTCATTTGTCTTATTGATTGATAGGAATAATTTATCTATTTCAATAGTAATAATTTTTCACATACACTGCAGTAGAGGGCATAGAAGGCGGGCCGTAAGGTTGAATCTGGCTCCTTGTCAACTGAAGGGTGATTCTAAGTGGCTTACTTAGTCTGTTAGTTCCTCTTCTCTTTGACGAGCATAATAAAACCCACCCAAGGCTGCTGGGAGGATTAAAACATGATAAGAAGACACACTCACTTGCCCTGCTTGGCAAAGAAGTACCTCAGCCAGGTTGGTTTTCTGAATTGCATGTGCTTGTGTGTGAGTGTGTGTGTGTACGTCTGTTTTCTATGTTACTGTAAAGAAGCAAGAAAGAGAGGCACGTGGTTAAGCTCACAGGGGGTGGATTCCACTGATGTTACTTGAGTTCCTTTTGCAAGAAGAGCACAGAATCACAGAAGGAAACGATCCCCAAAGATGAACCTCGCATGTGAAATCTTAGCCAGCTTCCTTCTGATTTTCACTGTTCCCACCAAAGGTAAGTTGGTGTGAGGGTCTTCACTCTCACTGTTAGAAGCTCCGTTGGAGACCCTGAACTGAGCGTAAAAGTCAGAAAGGTCACAGCCCTGCTTTTGCTTGGTAGCAAGTCACCTCAGCAACTGTCTTGCTTTTTGTAGGTGAAGACCCTGAAAGCATTGTCGTCTGGGGTGCCCTGGATCATGACCTCATCCTGGACATTCCTGGTTTTCAAAGGAGTGATAAGGTAGCAGATATACAATGGAACAAAAACAAAGAGAAGATTGCACGAATCAGGAAAGACAAGCCACTTTACGACCCAATGGACAAATATGATATGTTTACAAATGGAACTCTGAAAATTAAAACTCTGATGAGAAACGATAGTGATCTCTATAAGGTAGGGGTATATAATTCAAATGGAGTAAACCTACTGAGCAAAACCTTTGATTTGAAGATTCAAGGTAAGTCTTTGATCCCTAAATTCCTCCATCTCAAAATGGGTGCTATTTAGCAAGCCAAAGAGTAACATTTATGCAAGGTCCCCAGCCCAGATGTTGGCCTTGGGGAGCCCTAAAGGAAACTGAATGCATTCCTCCTACCTCGATGCAAGCTCCAGTCTTGTGGGAGAGATAGACTCCACAGCTAATAGACCCTCATGTCTACACACTTCAACTCTCCAGAGGTGGTGGGGATGCTGGTTTGAGTGAAGGATCTAGATTGAGATGGCATTAATTAGGAGGAGGGGAATCAGTGGGCAGAAGGGGAAAAAGGTGGCCATTTCAGGTGGATGATGAAGGATAAGCTATGGGGCTAGGAAGGGGAGGCTGATTGAAGGGCAGTGGGTCTTCTGTCCAGAGAGACAATTTCAAGCCCTGATGTCCTGAAGGAGTGGTGGTAAGGCAGGAAAGGAATAATGCATTAAAGGATGAGTGGTTTCTAATCTGCTCAACATTAGCATGATCAAAGGTAGAAGGTGTTTTTGCTGGTATCTGTAGAAAATACACAAGATGTGGCTCTGTCTGTCTATGCATATACTGGGTTAGCAGTAGTAACTGTGGGAGATGAAAGATGGAAGACTAGACAGGGGGCTGCTGCTTTAATCCAGGGGAAGCAGGAAGGGGCTGGTTGGTGAGTCTTAATTCAGGCTTCATGTTGGAATCAGCTGAGGTACAGTAAAATTTACCAGTACTAAGTCCCATCCCAGACCAATTAAATCAGAGTTCCTTGGCTCAGGGTCTGGGCATTGTTGGCTCTAAACTCCCCAGGTGATTTTAAAGCACAGCTAAAGCTGATAACCAGTGGCCTAGACCAAAGGGTGCCTATAAAGTGCCTGAAGCATGCTTCCACTGAGGGTCATGTGTAGAAAAAGGATGAACAAAGTGGCTTGAGTTTGAGAGAGAGGAACAAGAAAGTAGAATTGAAATGACATTGCAGTTGCAAGTCCAGGGGTCACTTGGCAGGGCATGGATAACAGTAGAAGAAGAAGCTGAACTTTGCTTGGAGAAGAAGATGGAACCTGAGCCTGAACACAAGCCAGAGTTTCAGTGAGCAAATAAGCATTTCCGTGCCTGAGACAGGAAATGCTGCCAAAGGAAGGGCCCCCTCCTCCTACGTAAAGTCACCCTCCAGCCCTGTTCTTGAGCACGCGGACCTGGTAGCAGCCCCCACCCGCAACACTCACAGACATTGGCAGCCCCCGCCCCCTCCCCGCAGATGACAACTTTCCACACCTAGTCCGGCACCAGAATACAGAGTACAGCTCAGAAATGGGGTGAGATAGATGCAGCCAGAAAGGGCCTCTGTTGTGGGCTCTGGGAACCACAGATGTCATAACTTTGGCCAAGTATTCTGTTTTAAACTTGAGCTTCGCATTCGTATTGGTGTATCATTTAGTATTGCCTGGGTAATAATGGCTACCGATGATATGTCATGTACTTTGCTACACGCTCTTACTTAAGGTTCCCAACAATCCTGAGAGGTAGTTTTTCCCTTATCAACTATGAGGACACAGGTAGAGGTCTGACTGGAGCAAAGTCAGGATCCAAACCCAAGGCTGGTTTTAGCAAGGACGGTGACATTCTGCCCTCACCCTGCCCTGACCCACGCCTACCCCATCAGCTTTATTGAGATATAATGCACATATCATAAAATCCACCCATTTAAAGTATATGATTCCATGGCTTGTAGTGTATTTACAGAGTTGTACAACCAAAGCGGCAATCAATTTTAGAATGTTTTCACAACCTCAAAAATAAATTCTCACTCTTTTGCCAAAAGACAGAGATCTTTCCATGACACAACTGCCATCTCGTTGTGTGTGTGTGTAAATGTTACAGAGGATGTCAATTTGTGATCCAGTCACCATTTCTTGCCACATGGCCTTGGGCAAATTCTCTATCTGCTCTGAGTCTGATTTTCATAATCATGACCCTATGGGGTATTCATGGGACAAGGCTTCAGGGAAACCTAACCATAGGTGCCTCAGGCCCCTGGGACACAGTACCTGTTTCCTCAGGGCTAGAGCTCTCTCCATCTCTTTGTTCCTTCAAGCTTCTCTGTTTCCAATCTTGGTACCCACAACTCCTTAATGAGGGGGCTGCTGCCATTAGCTGAGGAAGTCCCCTTAAAAGCAGATGTTAGTGGAGAAGATCATCCTAGCAACCTGGAAACAGAGAGCGTTCATCTATGAGATGTACCCTCACTCGATATAATCATGCCTCTTGTACAAAGCTGTCTTACAGAGACCGTGTATACAAAGATATGCTTTCAAGTGGCTGCACATAGCTGGGTGGTTTATGTCAGTGAAATACTGGAAAGATCTTAAAGTCCCCGGCAGTTAGAAACTTACTGATTAAATCAAGAATGTATGCACGCTCAGTCACTCAGTCCTTTCCGACTCTGTGATCCCATGGGCTGCTAGGCTCCTCTGTCCATGGGATTTTCCCAGCAAGAATACTGGAGCGGGTTGCCATTTCCTCCTCCACGGGATCTTCTCGACGCAGAGATGGAGCTTGCGTCTCTTGCATTGGCAGGTGGATTCTTTACCACTGAGCCACCAGGGAAGCCCTTAAAATCAAGAATACATCATTAAAAAAAGATGGTGGAGATGTATATTTATTGGTGTTCATAAAGTAAAGAATTTCATAATAGATCAGTAAAGGGAAAAAGGCAGACTAAAAAATCATATGATCCAATTTTATTTTTTAGAACATTATTTATATATGGTATGCAGGCATAGAAAACATTTGTTAGATGCATTGAAACATTAGTAATTATTGACTCTGTGTGATAGAATTGTAAGTGATTTTTAATCTTCTTGAAACTTTTTTGATATTTCATCAATTTTTATAGTGATGTGATTTACTTGTATGCTTTTTTTACTCATATTTTTAAGTGAAGGATAATTGCTTTACAACACTGTGTTAGTTTCAACTGCACAGCAACATGTAGATTTATAAATAGAAAAAAAAAAGAGTATTTCCATTTTGAAAACACAGACAAACTCCTCAACTCAACTCCTAGAGCATGCACTGACCCTGTCTTGGTGTACGGTGATGTTTTTCCATCCTCTTCATTTGGGGTCACACTGAATCTCTGGATGGAAGAACACTTAATTTCTGCATACCTATATTCTGGGACAGAAATGAAATTTGGTGAGAAAGTTCATGGGGAAGATATGATTGTCTGGGAGTCAGGGAGGGAGGAAATCATTAAGAAAAAAAAAATGCATGATGAATGGAAGGATGCTGAGAGAGAAAGGGGGCAAATCTGAGGAAAGGAAGGGAAGGCAGGGTGAGAAAAAGGGCAGAATTTGGTCACAGCTCACAAGTGGTGGAATACGATTTGAACCTGGTCCAAATGACTCCAAGGCCAGGGCTTTTTCTTTCATGACACAGCCTTCGAATATTAGCATGTCAGAAAAGGAGAGGCAGGCGTGTGTGATTATAACAGCCACCATCAGTATTGTGTGTGCTCGGTTGCTCAGTTATGTCCAACTCTTTGCAACCCCATGGACTGAAGCCCACCAGTGTCCTCTGTCCATGGAATTTTCCAGGAAAGAATACTAGAGTGGGGCGCCACTTCCTACTCCAGGGGATCTTCCCTACCCAGGGATCGACCTATGTCTCTTGTGCCTGCTGCATTGGCAGGTGGGTTCTTTACCACTGTGCCTCCTGGGAAGCCCTACCACCAGTATTGCCAGAGCCTATCCATGTGCCAGGGCTTTGTCAGCTGTCATTCCTGCTGTACAGGTGGGGAACGTCTTTCTCATCCTTATCTGTGGATGAGGACCAGTGAGGTGTGGGGAGTGGCCCAGCAGCTCTGGGAGGATGAAGGGGCTCTGTCCGTCCAGAGCTTGAGCAGCACCACTGCTCCCAGGATATGCCGGGGGAAGGAGGAGGGAGTTTCCATTTGTGACCAAGGCCCCAGGCTACACACATACCAGTTTCTCCAGGGTCAGGTTCCCAGTTGCTCTTAAAGCATTTCTCCCAACCCACCATCCCCCCACAGACTCCTGTGCCGTGTGGGGATCAGGACACGGTAAACCTCTTAACCGTATGACTGAACTTGAATTCGGGAGAGTGAGCTCCTCTCCCGATTTGCCACTTGTTAGTGGGTACCTTTGGACCATCCATTTAACCCTCCCAGACCCTTGGGTACTTCATCTATAAACAGGAAGAAAAACATCATCTTCTCTGTTTGTTAGGATGAAATGATATCATATACGTGAAAGCATTTTAAGGTATAAAGAAAGAAAAAAGTGAAGTTGCTCAGTCATGTCCGACTCTTTGTGACTCCATGGACTGTAGCCCACCAGGCTCCTCCATCCATGGAATTTTCTAGGCAAGAGTACCAGAGTGGGTTGCCATTTCCTTCTCTAGAAGATCTTCCCAACCCAGGGATCAAACCCAGGTGTCCCACATTGCAGGTAGACACTATACCATCTGAGAATATGATGTATATTTTACTGATATATCTATAATTATCAGAAATAAATTTATTCTGAATGTGCTATATAAATAACATAAAATAGAAATGATATTTTAAAAATTGCTAGGGATCTTTGAAATTGTTTCCTGGTCCCCAACTAACTCCATTTCCCCTCTCTAAATAGGTATATCTTCTACAATCAGTAAGTTGCCTGACTTGAGTTGGATCTTTCTTTTCTTTTCAGAGATGCTCTCAGGACCTGAAATTAACTGGACCTGTACCAACAGAACTGTGAGCTGCAAGGTAGAAAACGGAAGTGATCCTAAATTAGAACTACTTTTAAATAAGAGCACTGTCCAACAAGGTCATCAGAGGCTCATCACTTACAAGTGGAACACCAAATGGAATAAAACATTCAAGTGCGTGGCGCATAACCATGTCGATAAGAAAGTCAGCATGGTGACCGTCACATGTCCAGGTGCGTGGTGGGCACTGATCAGGCGCCACAAGTTCACATCACAGTCCAGCCTTTACGGCCGAGCAGGCAAGGACTGCTCCAGGGCTTGGGTGCCTGGCCTGGGAAGCCACTTAGGCTCAGAGTGAGAACTGAAAACACCCCTCTTTCTCCTGGAAATCTCCAAGGGAAGGCTTAGAGGAGAGAGGAGGTAGTGTTCTATGCTTACCCATCTTGGGATTCTTCTCACAGAGCATGGTCTAACCTCAGGTAATTAAAAAGGTGCTCTTCTAGGAGAAAGAATTACTGAGTTGAAGAGATAAAAGGAGCTGAAATGGTTATCTCATACAGACTGCCCCTTGCCAGAGAGGCAAACTGACTTGCCTACAGTCTCTCAGCTAGTCAGGGACCATGACTGTGACCCCAGGGCAATGATGGAGAAGGGAGCAAGAAAGATTCCTCTCGGGAGGGGCGATGGTCAGCACCTCCTATCAGAGACAGGAGCAGAAGGGCTCCTTCTAGAAACTCAGGAAGTGAAGAACTTGGAGAGAGGACAAGCTTGAGGCCAGGGAGGACAGTGAACCCAGGTGGGCAATGCTCTTACTGCCTCAGAGCAGAGTGCTCAGCACAGAAAGTTCTGAAATCTCAAGGGTCTAAGTTCCTTCCTGGTCCCCAACTTGACATGACCCCCAAAAGTAATTTTTGAAAGATGGCCTGCTCTGGCCTGGGAGACTGGGGTCTGGACGTCGAGTTTCGGTCTGTCTAAATGTACCGGGATGGCCTGGACAGAATTCCTTCCTCTTTCTGGGCTTCAGCCTCCTGGGCCACAAAGAAGATAAGCCCTGTGACCCCCAAGAGTCTACTCATCTAATACTCCACGATTATCTTTCCAGTGCTGTCTGGTCAATCCCCGGAAAGGAAACCGAAAAAAAAAAAAAAAGAAAGAAACAGTGATCTGGCCAGATTTCCTTAGTTTCTATAGCAATTTTGGCTGGTCAGTTATCCTAGGAGGCAACCCTGAGCTGGTGTGAAGTCAGAAGTAAGACTTTAATATATACTTTGAATTAGTTATCAGTTGTGTAACAAATGACCCCATATTTAGTGGCTTAAAACAGCAAACAGTGTTGAAGATAGCAATCTCACAGTTTCTGTGAGACATTGAATCTGGGACTGGCCTAGCTGATGGTTCTGGCTCAGAGTCACTCATGCAGCTATCATCAAGTTTCCAGCAGGGGTGCAGTCACGTCAGTCAGGTAGAAGCACTGCTGAGGGAGGTCCCACTCCCAAGTTTACTCATGGCGGGCATCCGGCTGCCTCACAATATGGCTGCCACTTCCCTCAGAGCCCCTTGAGAAAGAGCAACAGTAAGGGCCCGGCGCAAAAGCCAGGTCTTTGGCCTCGGGTCCCATCACCGCTGCTGTGCTCTCTTCATTCAGGAGCCGCTCAGTAAGCCCGGCCCGCATTTAATCAGAAGGGGTCACACACAGGTAGAAATCTCAGGAGGCAGGGCTCAGTGGGGACCGTCCTAGAGGCCACAAGTCACGTGCTCAGACCAGCGTCACGTCACCTCCTATGAAATCTCTGCCTCCCAGCCATCCCTCCATGCCCCCCCTCACTAAGGCACAGTGACTGAGGTAGCCCCTCCTCGACTTCACAAGCTCTTATCCCCTTTCAGGATTCTCTTAATTAGAGTTGCCAGATTTAGCAAATTGAAAAAAACAGTAACAAAAAAACAGTGTAAATATTTTTTTTTTGGTCACTCTGCGTGGCATGCAGGATCTTAGTTCCCCAACCAGGGACTGACCCCACACCTCCTGCATTGGAAGCACAGAGTTTTAACCACTGGATTGGCAAGGAAGTCCCTAAAAAGACAGTATAAGTATGCTCCAAATGTTGCATGGGACACTCTTATACTAAAACATTATTCATTGTTTATTTCTAATTTAACTAGTCATCTCCTGTATTTTATCTGGTAATGCTACTTCATGTGTATTTTAACTAGATCCCAGCAGTGTAAAAATGTGTGTGCATTATGGATGGAGGAAGAGAGGAAGGGCTTTGGGGGGAGCTGGGGTTCGAAGACTGGAACCTTCCTGTCACCTCCTTGTGGTGCAGAGTTGGGGGAGCCAGCTGGGGGAAGGGGCACTAGAGAGATGGGAGGAATACCTAGGGCAAGTCTGGGGAGGACAAGTTTGCTCTTGAAGACCCTAAAGTGGCTCTAGATGCATCATCCTAAAAGGCCAAGGCAGAGAGGAGCAATGACACGATTAACCACTTGGCTCAAAACAGATAAGCATGTACTTAAAATCAAAATAGTAGGAGGAGGGAGCAGGTTTGGACACGAGAAAGGACTCTACCTCATGAATTCATGGGCATATTATCTCTGAGAGGGAGTGCAGGAAGGAGTGTGGCTGGATTCAGTGACTGTAAGGACATAGCTACCTCTGAGACATGCTGGAACCTTCCCCACAGAAAGCACCCAGAGGCCATGCTGGACAAATCTGTGAACAGACTGTGTGGGGCACACCTACATTCCCAAGTGTGCCCAGATAAGGGCATGCTTGTCCTGTCTGAGGACTCTGAGGAGACAAGCTGGTGTCTGCATGGTTTAGCCCCATGTTCCTCAACTGGTCCTAGGCTTGCCCCCAACCCCACCCAGGTCAGACCGTGGGAAGTCCTTGGCTGAGCCCAAGGTGGATTCTGATAGCCCTGACCCTTCCTCCAAGCAGACAGAACCTGAAGGGCCCTTCTGCTTTTCCCAGTCCAGTTTCACAGCAGGTTAGGATTATGCCTGCTTTCCTGATGGAAGCCCCTTCATCCACAGAGCCTAGAAAGTCTATATAACCAGCAGGCAAAGAATGGGTGTGAGAGAGATACACTTAGGAAGAAAAGCAAAGATTAACAAACCACTGCAGTCTGAACACCTGTTTAGTTTGGTTTCTGAGCTTGCTCCTGGGGCCCATCCTGGGCTTCATGTATAACAGTATCTTCCCAAGAATGTTTGGCTGGAGAAGGGTTTCCTTGTGATGCTGGGCTGAGCTCTGTTCATTCTCAGGATGGACAAGTCCCCTGACCCCTGGCCCCAGCTGCTGACTCTCTGACTACTGTGACTCACAAACGGGCAGAAGGCCCAGCATCCCTCTCAGGAAACAGCTCCCAGAAGTGCCAGTGCCCAGAACTGTAGTCAAGGCAGGCCCCCATCTTTGTGTGTAGTTTCACACTTTATAAAGCACTTTCACATCCATTATCTGATTGACTTCCAACAGCCACCTGTAATGTAAATTCATTATCTCCATTTTTTCAAAGTCAGGAACAGGCTCAGAGAGGTGAAGTAACTGGCCAAAGGTCACACAGCTCCTACCTAGAAAAGCCTGCACTCAAATTGATTTCTCTTAACATAGTCATTGTTATTCTCGTTGCATTATAGCAGCTGAAGGTTTGTGAGTTGAAGATCAAGTTCACTGCTGCGGCTAACTCACTGTGTGTCTGAGTTTCTCTCACAGGCCAGGGAAAATCTGGGAGAGGGTGCTGGCTTTGAGGTTAGAGAGCTGGGCTGGACACATGAAACATGGATCCTGTCTTTGGGAACTACCTGGTCATGAGAATGAGGAAAAAGCAGTCATGATGTAGGAGGGCAACCAGAGATGAAGCTGGATAAACAGTGCAGAAACATGAAGATGAGGGGCTGCTTAAAGGAACCACTCAGGAATGGATGCTGTGTGACCTCAGGCAACTTATCCTTCCTCTTTCCTTGTGCATGAAACTAGAGATTATGTTAGATTTTCTCTAACCTCGTTCTCAGATCTAAATTTCTGTGACAACCTCCTTGAGAAGGGACAGAGCCTTGGCTCACAAAGAATCAGGCATTTCTGGTACAGGAGAAGAGCTCTCGAAGGAGCCTTGTGAAAGGGGCTTATCTTGAACCCTGGACTCCTTGAGGTATTGACCCTGTTCACCAGCCTCCATAAGCTTAGCCTCCATGAGGCTGAGAAGTCCCATCAAACTCTTTCATCCATAAGATGGGAGGCAGGAGTCCTTGAATCCTTGGCCAGGGCAATGAAATGGTCCCTCTCCCCAGGACCTCCCATCCATGCCGCATCTGTTCCTCTTGCAGATGAAGGCCTGGATTTGTACCTCATCATCGGCATTTGTGTAGGAGGCATCGTCTTGCTCATCTTCGTGGCACTACTCATCTGCTACATCAGCAGGAGGAGAAAACAGAGCCACAGGAGAGATGGTAAGCTCCCCCTTCTTCTGTCCCACCGCAGGCCCAGGTGAAATCCCCGTGGAAACTGCTCATGGGGCTGGCACCCAGAGTCTGGAAAGAAAAGACTGGAGATGGGTAGTTTCAGAATGTCAGGGCCTTCACCGGCGGTTAGTTTGTTCCATTTTGTGGTTAGCTTGAGTTTTGAAAAACAGATTCTCAGTGGTGACAATAGGGGAGATTTGAGACGCTCAGTCCAGGTTGGCCTCACTGGAATCCACCAGCTGAAGCTGACTTGGTGCAAAGCTGTGTGGACATGCTTTGAATGAGCCATGTGTATCTATGTGGATAGAAAGATTAGCTTCAAAACACCATGTCTATGAACCAACATCTTGTCTTCTCCTGAGCGGGGGTGGCCAGGCTGGGTTCAGAACCAGTCTCCTAGGAACACAGGTAAAATTTCAGGACACTCACTGGGGACTCACAGGAGCACATTTGTTCTAAAACTGGGTGTTTCTATTCCCTTTCCAATTCACTGTTCCAAGAGGAGGTGTCAGGGCTGTGAGTGTTTCTTCCTTGAATCAGTCCTGACAACCCACTAAGAAAGAAAACGTTATGCTTGTGAGGAGCTGGCTCAAGGAGCATCCAGGCCACCCAAAGCAGTGTGTTCAGAAAATGATGTTTCTATGGACACTGTAATGAGGGTGTTAGGGAGAGATGCTACAGGTGAGTCCAGCAGGGGCTGTCCAGTCATCAGCAGGACGTGAGGCCAGGTGGACAGGTCCTCAGGTTCTGCACAAGCTCACATTCACAGCAGGACTGGGTCCCCCCATGTGGGGTCTCTCCCTGGAGTGAGCCTGGCATTCCTAGGCCAGCTGCCTCTGCAACCGCCCAAACAAAGACCTGGTCTGCACCTGGCCTTGGGCCACCTTTGGATTTATCTTTCTTACTTTAGACTTCTTTCCTCAGGTCTCCCTCAGGCCACTGCTCCAGCATGGGCCCAAGCTTCCACCTCCCTTTCTCCCGCACCCTCCACCCCAGTGGACCAGAGCTGTTTGTTAGTCCCATAAGCACACACGGTTTCCTCACTTCTTGGCCCAACTCAGGCAGTTTTCCATCCCCATTCCCCCTGCAAAGGCTCCTGCCCCACTGCTTGAGTCAAAGAACACATGCTTGGACCTCACATGCCACCCGGTGGCAAAACAACTGCTCTTTCATGAGGCTGAAATGACCAACATGATGATCAACTCATGTTGACAAAGCAGTTGTCTGTGCCAGACCCTAATCTGTAATGGGATGCTTTTTAAAAATGTATTTATTTTTAATTGGGGGAATAACTGCTTTACAGTGTTGTGTTGGTTTCTGCCATATATCAATATGAATCAGCCATAGGTTTACCCATGTCCCATCCCCTCTTGAACCTCACTCCCTAATATGGTGCTTTATATTCAATATCTCATCCAACTTTCTGCATGATCATATGAGACAGATAATATTCATTCAGCTGAAGTTTAAGCTCAGCGAGGTTAAATGCTTTGTCCCAAATACCATGGCCAGTAGGCTGAGTTAGGACAAGGGTGAGGTGAACAAGGATCCCTGGATACAAAAGTTGAGAAGACCTCCACCTCCAGGGTTGACCCTGCCCTTGCACAGCCCCAGGGGTTGGGGCCTCCTTTGGTTTTGTGCTCTGGGTGGCTGTTTGCTTCATCTAGTCCTGGCCTAGTGCTGAGTAACCAGGAGATGCAGTGAGGGAGGAGAACATTGAGGCTGGAGGGATTCCATGCAGCCGTGGAGCAATGTGGGCCGTGGCTGGAGTTGCGGGCGTGGGTGGGCTGCACAGAGCTTTGATGACCACCTTGTCTGTCCAAGCCAACCTGAGGGGTCAGCCCCTTGGCCACACCCCTCTCTTCCTCCCAGAACTCATGGGGCTCTTTGTCTGCATCTCTCTAGTGGCCCTGGGCCCTTACCAGAGACTGACATTGTGATCTGCTGTCCTGCTTTCTGCCGCTTGTTGACTTTAGGCTATCTAAGAAGAGTGCTTGTGTCTGAGCCATCACAGGCACTTAGCAATGGTACCTAATACCTAGAAAATGGGGAATAAGTGTTCTAAAAACAAATGAACAAAACAGCGGGTGACCAGACTAGCAGTAAGCAAATGGCCAGCTCTGGCTTTCAGTCCAAGGATGGAAAAAGGCTTTCCCATGGCCCCATAGCTGGGACCTGGGGTTGAGACTCAAAGTCCTCTGCATGGCCTCATGGCACCACCTCTGCCTCCTGAAGGCACCAGAGATGGCACAGAAGATATGTTTTTCCCTTTCTGTGCGTTTCACTTTTTGTGCTCAGAGTACTCCAGCATCTCCTCACCAAAACCTGGCGTTTGGCTTTGAGCCTTCGTGTTCAGAGTCACCCAAGGCCTGGATTTCCAGCAGTCGGAGGAGGCTGCTCCGGCTTCCCTGTGGCTCAGCTGGAAAAGAATCCGCCTGCCATGCGGGAGACCTGGGTTTGATCCCTGGGGTTGGGAAGATCCCCTGGAGGAGGGAACGGCTACCCACTCCAGCATTCTGGACAGAAAAATTTCATGGACTGTATAGTCCATGGGGTCACAAAGAGTCAGACACAACTGAGCGACCTTCACTTCACTTTCACCTGAAGTCACAGGGTGGTGCTCAGAGGGCACGTGTTTCCTAAACCATGCACCCCTGTGCTGACGTGAGCAGCCAGCCACCGCAGGGAGGGCGTCCTCGTTCTGGCTTTCTAGAGAACACCATGAGGATGGCTTTGGGCTCAGGGTAGGAAATACCTGCCTTGTAGCACGAAGGGGGCCAGAGGGGCCACCGGGGCCCTCCAGGCCTACGGCTCCTGAGCATCCTCAAAGGTTTCCTCTGTGATTTCAAAACAGCAAAGGGAAAATGACATTACTCTGAGTTGTAGGCCTGTCTTCATGGATTGCCATCACAGAAAACAGAAAATCCCAGAGAGGTGAGTGACCAGAGGAGGAATTTTTCTTCCAAGTCCAAGAGCATGGGGCTGGCTTATGAATTTCTGAGACACTAATATGTTTTTAAGGACTAAACAGCCCCTTGTGTATGTCCCAACCCCTCACCAGAATGTGGGTGAATTACAGAAGTGGGTGAAAGGTGGATCTCACGCAGAGACCTATCTGAAGGCAGGTGGTTACTAACATTCTTTCTGACTGTGTCTGTCAGTCACTCAGTCGTGTCTGACTCTTTGCGTCCCCATGGACTGTAGCCTGCCAGGCTCCTCTGTCTGTGGGGTTCTCTAGGCAGGAACGAGGGAGTGGGTTGCCATACCCTTCTCCAGGGGAACTTCTTGATCCAGGGATTGAACCAGGGTCTCCCACACTAGAGGCAGATTCTTTACCATCTGAGCCACCAGGGAAGCCCCTCTCTGACTCCTCAATCCTATTATAAGGCCTCTGACCCTGAGCGGCGCTAGGGTGTGATACCTGGGATGACTCAGAGTCAGGACTGGGGTCTAAGTGCCCTCTCTGCTCCCTGGAGATCCAGGCATCACGTTCTCCACTGCATACCTTGCCTCTGACTTCCTAAGTTCTCTGACGCCCTGGGCTGTCCCTCTATCTTGCTGTGGGTCTTTCTGTCCTCCCCCTCAAGACTTGGAATCTCTGGAGAGCAGAGGTGGCTTCTGCCTTCTCATCATATCCCCCCCAGAGCAGCTAGCACGCTGTGGTGTACACAGGAGGTGCACTCAATATTGTTACACCGATCCTGATTTTTGCCAAGAGAACTCTTCAGAGAACTCTTCTTTGATCCTTGCAGATGAGCAGCTGGAGATAACAGCACAGAAAGCAACCCTTGAGGAAAGAGGCCGGAAGCCTCACCAGATTCCAGTCTCAACTCCTGCAAATCCAGGCATGTCCCAAACTCCTCCAGTACCTGGTCATCGTTCTCAGCCCCCCGCTCATCGTCCCCGGCCTCTTGGCCCCCGTGTCCAGCCCCAGCAGAAGAGGCTTCCTCCGACGCCAGGCACACAAGTTCACCAGCAAAAAGGCCCTCCCCTCCCCAAGCCTCGTGTTCAAACGAAACCTCCCAGTGACGCCGAAGAAAACTCCTAACTCTGTGCCGTGGCTGTCCTCTTCCTCTCATCAAAAGAGATGAATACCCGTCCTTTCCCATAAAAGGCACGGTGGGATTTCTCCACTCTGGGTGTGCACACCCACACCTCCATCCTCCAGCAAGGGTGCTCTCCAAACAGACCATGGTCGCCTCCCCAGCCCGTGAGCCACAACCACGTGAGCCACAGCCTGTGCTTTTTAACACAGCCACATGGTCTGACGTCTGGAGTCTCTGGCCCCCTTCCCCAATCACCACTTCACCAGGAAGGGAAGAAACAATAAAAGTGCGCACATTAGGACTGGGTGATAGAGCTCAGAATCCTAGAGGTCTCCCTGTTCCCTCTCAGAGCACGTGCCTGTGTCTGATGTCAAGCAGTCACTGTGGCCGTGTCTTGTACAAGCAGCTTCCTGCTTGAGACACTCTTGGTTTTCTTATGTGCCTGGTGGACACTTGCTCACTGTATTGGGAGTAGCAGTGAAATAAAAGCCTTGACTTGACCCCAGGTGTCATCTAGTGCTGAATGGGAAAGAGGCTATTTGGTGTAGTATGACCCCGCCACCAAATCTGGCCATCCCAGTTCAACCGGTTCCCCTTAATCCCCCACCAGAACAACTGACATCCACTCCGCAGGTTCCAGGTGCAAAGCTGGACCCACGGCCTATTGGTAGATTTGTATAAGGAATTGAAATCTCTATGCACAAACTTCAACAAGAGGCACCAGAAAACATAACCTCATTTGCAGTTTCACTTCCTTGGTTCTTCAGACATGTTCATGGTGATCTGTAGAACCATCCTTGAAAAGAGGGGGGTCCATAAAGACTGGAGGCGCCACGAGCCTGTCAGAGAACATGCCAAAGGGGCAGGCTGAGACACAGCTCGGTCGAAGCAAACCCCAGGTCTTAAGTGACCATGATTAAAAGGTCAGCCCCCCCTCCCCACTCAGCTGGCAGTCATGCTAGTTGTACTTTGAGGGAAGTGGGGGAGAAAAAAAAAAAACAGTTTACAGTTAAGGTTCTAAAGCAGTAGATGGTGAGAAGGCACCTGGTTTGCAATGTTGGCACCACGCTGTTTGCGGTCCTGGTCCCCCCCGCCTTCTCCCAGCTTCTTAGACTTGTTAAACCCTGTCAAGCTCTGGCAGGAAGCTCTGAGGTCTAAACCACAAAGTCTCTGTACATTCAGGACTTCCTGTCAGAGCTCACAGAGGGTTGAGCTGCTCTTTTCTCTGAACCTGGGCTTCTATTGTTTTAACCCCCAGAGTTAATTATTAAGAATAATGATGAATGAAGGCCCATCGCCTCCTGAAATTCTAACATGGAGTCTAGTCAAGTGACAGGCATCATGAGATCTACTAGGAAGAGAAAGGAAGGTCTTAGCACGGCCCCCTTTTTCCTTCCTCATTGCAGTCCTGTGCCATTGCATCAGCCATCCTGCCCGAATAACTCCTAACCCATTCCCTTCCTGAAGCCCTCCCTGGCTTTTGCAGCCCTGTGCTCTGCCTTCTTCCCGCAATCTTGTGGCATACATATGGTACAGTGCCTATAACTATTCAATCCCTACATCACTTATTCATTCAGCAAACATTTATTGAACTTGTGCTACATACCAGGCTCTGTGCTACATGCTAGAAACACAGAGGCACACACATCTTTGCTTTCCAGGTGCTCAAGTTGCGGGAAGGGTGGACTAATTCCAGGATAAATATAACCGTGTGATAAGTATTGGTTAGAGGCCAATACGGGAGCCCAGAGGAAGGACTTGGAATCTGGATTGGTTGGCAGGCCTGGGGGACCCGGAAGGCTTCCCGGAGGAGGTGGCATTTGAATTGAGTTGTAATAGATGAGTCAAAAAAACTGCTGAAGCAGAGGTGTAGAATCACCCCTGTAGAGGGAGCATGAACTTTGCTCCTGCTGACTATCTGTTGAGGTAAATATGTTATTCCTTTATCAACTACTACGTTTCATCAGTTTGAAGACACTATTGATTTTAAATGGCACCATTATTTACACACCATTCGAAAGAAAAAGTACTCTCAATTGCACTTTAATAAATGCTAAGATACAGTCAATTTGTAGGTTCAACCCTATTCCTGAGGTGTTAAAATGTGAAAAAAATGTGTTTAGAACTAATGAAATGGAGTTAAAAAGCCTCCTGAGGACTTTGGCCATTTCTCATCATTGCCCCTACCGAAAATTTCACTGAAAATTTACTGAAAATTTCACTGGCCAGTTGATTCAATGGGTGAGTACAGTCTTGATGAAAGAAAAAGAAACAACCACCGTGGCATCTATTGGGTTGGCCAACAAGTCTGTTTGGGTTTTTCTGTAACACCTTACTGAAAAACCCAAACAAACCTGCTGGCCAACTCCAAACATACGTAAAATACACTTCCTGGCCTGCTGGAATCTCTGCCACGAGGCGGAAAACACTGGCCTTGCTTGAAATTTGTGCTGTGGTCACCACTGCTGATGGTTGTGTGACCTCCCACTGACCTTGTCCCAGATTGTGGACTTTCTGAGATGTGGTCAGGCCAGCTACAGAATAGCTTGTGAAGTCTGTGGAAAAAAAAAATGATGATTCAGTAGCTTAGGTTGGGGCCCAAGCTTCTATTGTTTTTAACAATAACAATTCTAAGGGGTTTTCAAGTAGGGAACGACAGGTCTCCCGGTCCTGTGACTGGTCAAACCTGAGGACTTGATAGATAATACAGCACTGTAAGAAAAACAATAACAGCCCTGTTAAATAATCCCCTGTAGGTAACATCTACTACAAGGAATGAAGCCTGGTTGAAAGACATATTTAGGTAATTAGAGACACTCTGGAGTGTCACATGAAAGAAAATTCCAGTCTTTTTTGATAGATTCTCTGCTCTTCCTAAAAGCAGTCTGATCCCAGCAGCTGGGTCAGCCTAGCTCAAGGGGACCTTGGCTGTGGACTGGCAATTTCATCTCAGTCTTTCTTATGCCGTCTCGAGCGTGGAACTCACCTGTACTGGCTGGGCTGCCGCCACCCGGTTCCTCAAGCTCACCGACGTGTGCCCCACCACAGGGCCATTGCACATGCTGACCCCACTGCCCACACTCCTCACCTGGCTCTTCATCTATCCACACTCTTCTCTCCGGATTCAGATTGAGGGTCACAAAAGAGACCTTTCCTGAACTCTGCTGTGACTTGAGCCTGGTGAGACCGTTTCATCTCTATGTCTCACTCTGTGGCCCCCCAGGTCAAAGGAGGAGGAGGCCCACAGGTATTACAGCCGAAAGGTTCTGACTCTCTCTCACTAGCTTTGCGAGCTTAAGCTGTTTACTCAGCCTCTTTGAATATTGGTTTCTTGATCTCTAAAATGGAGATAACACCTCATGGGGTTGAAATGAGGATTAACTAGAAGTAACATGTGTAAATGTGACTGGCATGTCCTGCGTACAGAAGAAATCTAATAACCATGAGCTTTCTTTCTGGCTTGATATCTGAGAATATACACTGGATAGCAGATATAAATGGCCCAGTTACTGGAAAGAGACACAGCTCATTTTGAATTAATAAATAAGCACTCTGTAAGGTGACTTGGGCTTCCCTGGTAACTCAGTGGTAAAGAATCTACCTGCCCATACAGGAGACGCAGGACACCTGGATTTGATCTCTGGGTTGGGAAGGTCCTCTGAAGAAGGAAATGGCAACCCACTCTAGTATTCTTGCCTGGGAAATCCCATGAGTGAGGAGCCTGGTGGGCTGTGGTCCATGGGGTCACAAAGAGACTGAACAACAACAAGGTGACTTCGTGCGCTGTGAGTTTGATTCACCTGAGTGAGTAGCTCAATATCTGGTCACACAGGACAAACAGATAAAATTCTATCCCAGACATATTAAAAGTGGAAGAACATGATCTCTGAGACTGCCCCACAAAGCCAAGTTTGAGCCACCAGCCACCTGCCACCTTGCTGGCCGCCCTGATGCAGGGCCACCCTGATGACACATCTGGACACCACTTCACAGATGGTTTAAAACCACAAAAGATGGTTTGTTCACAGCAACACAGAGCAGGGGAGGGGGAGGCAGGGGAGGTCGTGATGTTTCTGATAGCCTACCTCTGAGATCAACCCAGGGGTCAGAGCGGGCATCAGGAAGGGGCTTACAGCCAATGCTGGCAGAGGGCAATCGATTTCATGAATTTTATCAAACAATCAAGCAGTCCCAGAGGTCCCAAATGAACTGTGACAGCAGAACCCAGCCAATGGACTGGGGAGGTAAAATCTGGATTGTAGGCTGCATGTATGCTAAGTCGTGTCTGACCCTTTGTGATCCTATGGCCCATAGCCCACAAGGTTCCTCTGTCCATGAAATTCTCCAGGCAAAAATACTGGAGTGGGTTACCATGCTCTTCTCCAGGGAATCTTCCTGACCCAGGGATTGAACTCTTGTCTCTTCCATCTCCTGAATTGGTAAGTGCCACTTACCACTAGCGCCACCTGGGAGCTGCTTTCAAGCTGAGAACAGGGAAGGAGTAACGGTAAGACTGGGCAGTTTCTAGTTAAGGGTAGCAGCTTAACTCATGTGTTAGCCTTTACTCTCTTCTGAAACCCAACAAAAATAACATTAAGCTTAAAAAAAGAAAAGACACCAACCACAAGGACAAAGAGAACAGAAGGAAGAAAACGTAGCATAATTAAAAACAGAGAGATCAAAGACAACATTTCTGATGATTGTTGCCACGAGACTCTTCCCCCACCTAGTTTGCAGAAATCAGATAGAGTATTCATGATATTTTCAGGCAGAATATTGGGAGAGATTCATCATATCAAAAAGAATCTTATCAAATAACCTCACTGAAAAAGATCTAATGACACTGACATCCAGAGTTTCCCAATAAAACCACCCAGCTAAGTGGACCCAGAGTAAAGTCTTCGGTCATTAAGCACCTTCTACTCTGAGATTGTGGTTTTTACTCTTCCTTCATCTCCAAATACAGTCACACCAGGGATTAGGGTTTCAACATGTAAATTTTGGTGGATATAATTAGTCCATAACAATGCTGAAGTGCTGTCTAATGTTCCTAAGGGCCAGAAGGCTCTATGTGTCCTATGGAGAAAGACCCATGTGTTACATAAGCTTCACTATAGCATGAGTTACGGTGCTGTTGGCCATGAGTTCAGCATTAATGTGGCAGCCATGTATTCTAAATTAGGTGTCTTTGAACAGAGACACACATAAAACAAAGTTCTGTATTGATCACTGGATAAAAATGTTGTGACCAGAGGCTCACAGGAACCCAACCTTGTATTTCCCCTGGGAGGAAAGGTTCAGGATTTGCCAAGTCAGTGTTCGTAGTGGCTTTATAGACCACAACCACTGTGAATAATAGTTGACTGCATATATGTTTCTTTTTTTCCTCTTGCACTGCCTTCAGATTCACTGCCCTCTCTCACTCTGCCATCACCAGGCTGACAGGACTGTTGCCCACGATTGCTGTGGTGATGAGGCACCCCAGGCAGGGCTGGGAGAG